CCACCCACACCCGCTCACACACACACTCACTCACTCACTCACACACACACACACTCACTCACTCACTCACACACAGCACATGAGCAACAGACAAACGACTGAACCAGAACACATAAAGACAGTAAACCAATACAGACCAATAATGTCAGGAAATCAAAGCTTAGAATAATATGGCATAGCAATAGCAATCATTGAAAAATAAATTAAATAATGATGTAGCCATGTGAATACACGATACAAGGATTTTGTAGGCTTTCTTAAGAAGCAAAATTGCATAACATATTAAGACTCTTTTTCAGTGAATATATTTATTATATTAATATATTATAAATGTTTGGCCTCTTGGCATCTTTGATGAATATGTTTAAAAATATATATTTTTATATTTAATAGATAAAAAATGTGAACATTAGAAACGTTGCCATGGAAAATAACTGAAATAAAATAAGTTGATGTTTATTATTATTATTATTATTATTATTTTGTAATTTATTTACTAAAACTGAAAAACTAAATTTAGGCGAAATAGAAATATTTAAAAAACAAATTAAATGACAAAAGCACACAACAAAATGACTAAAGCGTAAATGAAAATATAAAAATAAAAACTAATTTTAAATATTAATAAATATTATATTAACAATGCTAAAATAACACTAGCAATATTTGTTTAAAATCAATTCTGATTTATTTAGTTTTAATGGTGTGATATAATGTTATAGTTTGTATTGATATAATGAGTTTTTTATATTTTTATGTTTTCTGTTTCTGTTTTAATTTTAGTTAAAGGTTTTTTGTGTTTTGCGCATGTTTTAATAATTTTTATTATTATCATTATTTTAAATGTCTGAATAGTTTTTATTATTTTTATTTAAAATGTTTATTGAAAAAAAAAGTTGAAGGTTTATATGTATATTATCTATATATATAATTTTTTTTCACTTAAAGTTTATTTTATTTTAATTATTGAAAATCATTTTTTTAATGGTATTAGTTTTAGTTTTTGTTTAATTCTAAAAACCCTGAACTGCGTAGCAAAGCATTGGCAGCTTCATCATTAAATACTTATAATAATATTTCTTCCATTAATGTTGATATCTAGTAATGTAATCATTTCCTGTATGATTTTGCGTTCGGCTCCGGTGGGAATGATAATGGATTCACATCGTGATCGCTCGGTCTTTTATGGAGGGACTTTGAGGAAGCTGATAATGGCTTAATGATCGTACAGTAATAATTAGTGTGTAATTATGTAACTCTAATCTAATCGTCTGCCGGTGTGGAGATAAAACTCCCAGAATCCACTGCAGCACGGCTGTTCTCTCTTCTGAAAGACAGGAAGTGATTTGTAGCGTCAGAGTTGTTTCCTGTGATTGTACACTGGAGAGTTATGAGGAAACACGCTTTAGTCTCGAGTGTTTCTGCTCTATTCTAGAGATAATGTAGTTACAGCAAAACATCTAGAAATCTTTCAAACAAGATACAATTACTTAAGAAGCAAATATTGCATGACATTAAGACTTTTTTAAATGATTTTTTATAATATCATTAATTATTACAATGTATTATTAATAACATTTAGTATTATAAGCAGTAGAATTTTTCTTGCCACATTGGCAAATTTGTTAAATATGTTTCAAATTAATAATAATATTATTGTATAATATAATAATAATCATTGTTGTTATTATTATTATTATTATATATTTTATATTGTTATATATTATTTATTAATATTATTATTATATTATTATTAAAAATTTTGTAATGAAATCAAGCTGAAATAAAACAAAAAATAAATATTAGACGAAGCGCTTAAACTTAAAAGATAAAAGTTAGAAATGTTTAAGTTTAAATACTAAAATGACTAAAACTGAAATAAAAATAAATAAAATTAATTTAGAAAATAATACAAATGTCAAAAGCAAATACTAAAACTGAAAATATAAAACTGAAAACTAATTTAATAAATATTAGTAATATTAGTAATAATAGTAATATATGCTATAATAGTATATAATAATATATAATATAATAATAATATGATATATGATAATTTATAATAAATAAAAATAACACTTGCCATATTTGGCCACAAACTTAATTTCAAAATCTGTTCTCTTGAAAACAGGTCAAATTAATTTTGCTTTAATGATGTTTAGCTATTTCACTGTTAAATTAACTTTACTTTGCTAAAAGAATTCAAAATAGAAAACAATATATTGTTTTATACGATACAGATCGACTCATTCATAGTAATAAACATTAAAATATTAGTGTTAATGCAATAAAATTCATCAATTATGGAACTGAAGCTGTATTATTCAGATCAATTCAGTTCAATGGAGATTGTGTGTGTGTGTGTGTGTGTGTGTGTGTGTGTGTGTGTGTGTGTGTGTGTGTGTGTGTGTGTGTGTGTGTGTCGCCCCCTGCAGGCCCATACTGTAACCGCACATGGGACGGGTGGCTCTGCTGGGGAGACTCCGCCCCAGGCACCGCAGTTCAGCTATGCCCCGCCTACTTCCAGGACTTTGATCCAACCGGTGAGCTGATGACAGCTGTCACTCACAGTGATGCAGCCTCTGTGTGACAACTAGATCATAACCAGATCATAGAAATGTTATCCCATAATTTATATATACCACCAACAATAGTGGGGTCCAAAAGTCTGAGACCATGTTGAAATCTAGGATATATATATGCCTATATATATATATATATATATATATATATATATATATATATATATTAGGGCTGTAAAGCAATTAAATTTTTTAATCTAATTAATTACATGATGTGGCGATTAATTCATTGCAAATTAATCGCACATCAAATTTGGCCGAGAAATTACTCCCAAAGATAATTTAAAGTCATTGTTGTAGTAGACATTACAAAAAGTAGCTTCAGCAAGAAATATTTTATTTGATTCAATTCTTAAAAAAAAATATTAGTTATATGTTTATATATATAATTATTAATTTAATTTAAGTATTCTGAATTTAACAAAAATGATATTTTCTTTCACTTTTTGCATAATTTGACAACATTACAGCTTCATTTGATTAAAAAAAACAACTTTTTTTCCCAAATCTTCTTCATCATTATCAATAAATTATTAAATTGTTAAAGTTTTATGAATTCAGCTGATTAGACAAGCTTTTTGATTATTAATTCAGAAAAGTTTAAACAGAATTTGGGGGGAAAAAATAACACACATTACTAGGCACCTAAAAATTAATTTTTTGTTAAACTTTTAATAAATTGTTAAATTGCATAGGTTTTATGATTGATTTCAAGTTTGAAAATTGATTTCATAGTTCCCTATTATTATACAAGTGTTTTAATAAATTCAATTAATAAATAAAAATTATTCAATTGTTACATTTGTTCATGAATTAAATTGATTAGACATGCTTTTTGATTATTAAAATTGAATTAAAGCATAAAAAACAACAAATAAATAAAACAGATTTCTAAAGCCCTAAAAATGTCATTTTGGCTAACTTTCCAATAAATTGTTGTTAAATTGTATTAGTTTCATGATTTTTTTTATTTAACCATTAAAGTGGAAAAAACAGAATTTGAGAAACAATAAAATGGAAAAATGGAAAAAATGAATAAAACTCATTTCTAGAGCCCTAAAAATGACATTTTATTTATTTATTATTATTTTGCTTAAATTAAACTTTTAATTTTTTAACTTTTTAAAATTTGTAATTTAACCATTAAAACGGAATTTAAAAAAAATAATCTAAATGGAAAAAAAATGAATTTGGGAAACAGTTTCCCCAAATTAAATGTGTGATGCACACAATCTCTGCTCACATTTCGCATTGTCTTCCATCAGAGAAAGTGACCAAAGTGTGCGCCTCAGACGGCCACTGGTTTCGTCACCCGGAGAGCAACCGTCTGTGGTCCAATTACACGCAGTGCTCTGCTTACACTAAGCACAAACTCGAGGTCAGAGCTTCACTTTTACACATCAACCCAATCCTTCAGAATCCTGCCTGTCTTACCCTCTGTGTGTCTCCCGCAGCTCACGTTAGTGAATTACTATCTGGCGATGGTGGGGCATGTCCTGTCCATCATCTCGCTGCTCATCTCCATCTGCATCTTCTCATACTTCAAGTACGTCAGAAAAACAAACACATGAAGACTCTGTCAGTGAGGAGACAGTAGCAGATCATTTCTGTGTTTGTGAAAGCTTTATATGATGTAAGTGAAGGGATGATGTCTGCGCAGGTGTTTGAGCTGCCAGCGGATCACGCTTCATAAAAACATGTTCACCTCCTTCATCCTGAACTCGTTCGCCACCATCGGCTGGTTCTACTTCGTCATCGGAGATCAGCGGACCAGAACAGACTCGGTAAGTGCATGCATACTGTATATGACATACTGTATATATGAGCTGAACATGATGCTCTCTCATAAACACTTACTGTAACTTACTGTACAGAGGTTTCCAAACTGGGTTGCAAAAAAATTGAGAGGAAAAAGCATTACAAATATGTCAAAATTAATGTGTGCACTTAAAATATTAATGCAATTTGTAATAATAAAAGCAAAATAAACAAATATACAAATATACAAAATAACAAAAATAAAAAAGCAAATAACATGTTTTGTTAAAAAATCATATATATGTTATTTAAATAAAACCTGCTTTGTTAGCATATATATATATATATAATATATTAACTAAAACTAATTTTAAAAAATAATTTACGTTATTTGAAATAAAATAAATGTTAACTGACTGAAAATATAAAATATTCAAAATTATTTTACTTCAGTTTTATTTCAGCCATTCTTATTTGTGTTTAGTTTAACTTGAAGTACTAAAATAACTCAAACTGAAATAACTAAAACTAAGTAAACTAAAACTAATGAACAGAAATTAAATAACAAAACTATGTAGACATATTGACAAAGAACAAAACTTAATTTACAAAAAAAATAAATCTGTAAAAATCATATATATTTTTATATATTAACTAAAACTAAAACCATAAAAAATATTTTTGTTACTTGAAATAAAATAAAATACAAAAAAAAAACTTATTTTACTCCAGTTTATTTCAGTAATTCTCATTTTTGTTTAGTTTAACAAAGTACAAAAAAACTAAAACTGAAATAACTAAAACTAATAAACAGAAATGAACAAAAACTATATAGACTAATTGACAAAAACAATTGTTTTGTTAAAAAAAATCATATATATTTTTATATATTAACTAAAACTAAAACCATTAAAAAAATTGTTACTTGAAATAATATAAAATACAAAAAAAAAAAAACTTAAACTTATTTTACTTCAGTTTTATTTCAGCAATTCTCTTTTTTGTTTAGTTTAACGAAGTACTAAAAAACTAAAACTGAAATAACTAAAACTAAGTAAACTAAAACTGATAATTAAGAAGTAATAAAAACTAAATGGACATATTTACAAAACTTGTAATCATGTATTAAAATATACTAAAACATTTACTACAATTAAAGTAAAAACTGAAAAAATATTATTATATATCAAAATATTAACAAACTATAATAGTATCTCAATGATACTAAAATATATACAGTATATACAGTATATTCCTATGTGTTAATAAAATAGTAAATATAGTAAAATAGTAAAAAAAAATTCTATATAACAATATTTTATCATCATTTTAATGTTTTATATAATAATAATAATAATAATAATGTCATATTTCAACCATTTGCTTTTGTACAATTACAAATAAATATATAAAAATATACATGATCTGATTTAATAATCTGTCACCATAACTCTTAAATGCTTGGCAATAAACCTCATTCTGATTTTGGAAGCAATTATTTGATTCAGCTGTGTAATAAACAGTGTAAATGACTATATATTTAATGAAGTGTGTTGGCGCTCGTGTTGTTGTTGATGTTCAGTCTCAGATCGGCTGTAAGCTGCTGGCTAGTATCATGCAGTACACCTCCTGCTCCAACTACTTCTGGATGCTGTGTGAGGGGATCTACCTGCACACGCTCATCATCGTGGCTGTGTTTGTGGGAGAGCAGCAGCTGGGCTGGTATTACGTCCTCGGCTGGGGTATGTACTGATCCGTACGTAGGTAGGCAAAAGCCAAGGGCCCCCTAAAATGCAAACAGCGAACGGTTGCTGTTTACGGTGTTTATTAACACGACAACCGTCCGATTTGAACGTGATTCAAAACATCATGGATCTGAAGCTGTAATTAAATATTGAGAAACAGTGTGTATTATATGTTTATAATTGTTTTAAACAGGGTTGGGGGTAATGCATTACAAGTAACGCGAGTTACGTAATCAGATTACTTTTTCAAGTAACTAGTAAAGTAACGCATTACTTTTTAATTTACAAGAG